CAAGTGCTCCAAATAGTACTTACAATACACGGTAAAATGAATTACGTCGAATGTTAACAAAATCCCCCTCGCGCGATAGGTTGATTCTAGGAATGATGACAGGGTATGAAAATTAAAAATCTAATTACTCCGTCTGTTAGATAATTAAAAAAATATTTGCCACGTACTTTTTTATTATATCGTATGTGTATGAAAACAATACTTGGACAAAACTATCTAAGTCTAAGAGTGGGAGGTAACTACGTGATTTTAGAGTATAAATCGTACAAAAAAGTGACGTCATACGATATTTCAAATCAATATAATATCGTGGAAAGTATTCGTTTCCATAAGAAAATAAAAATAGGTGTCTAATGTTTTTAAATAATTTACCAGACGGACATTAAAATAAAAATCAGTCATCTAGCATAACATCACGCCTTTTATCTCCGAAGGGGAAGGCAGAGGTGCACATTATACCACTGTACAATGTAACACCCACATTTCACTATTTATGTTATGAGTCCCATTTAATAGGGGGTGAGTCTATTGCCATATACCGGGCACAATTCCAGACTCCGTGCTACTACTGAGAATTTTTTAAAAACCCAGTAATACTTTAGTCATCTATGTACTAGGCTTTTAAGTCTAAAATAATTTGTGTGAAGAAATAATTATGAAAATATGAAAAGATCTTTTGTAAATAACAGTCAGGGTCATCATCACTAATATCGGGTGACAGATCATTGCTGGACTACGGATCTCCTCTACATTTATTTATATTTAAATTTTTACATATATATCACTACAGGCATGTGATGTGGTCACAGGCATAAAAATATAATGTGATGTTTAGTCGTGTGTGTGAAGTTACCGGTGGATATTCCCCCCATCCCCATTCCCTGAATCCCCAACAATCCTCAAATTCCGAATCCGGTAACGCACTTAGAACGCCTCTGGGCGTTCCAGGTGTCCATGGGCGCGCCAATCTTACCATCAGGCGATCGGTCCGCTCGTTTACCGACTTATACCATAAAAAAATAACAGTGTTTATTTTTCGTGTATCATATATTCATACAAAAAATAGGTGTGTTAATAATACATACATAACATCACGCCTTTTATCCCCGAAGGGGTAGGCAGAGGTGCACATTATGTCGCTGTACAATGTAACACCCACTTTTCACTATTTATGTTATGAGTCCCATGTAATAGGGGGTGAGCCTATTGCCATATACCGGGCATAATTCCAGACTCCGTGCTACTACTGAGATTTTTTTTAAAAACCCAATAATTTTTAATTTGTTAATAAATGTATGGATTTCCCATCAAGACATAAAAGGCGTTATGTAATCCATTAAAATCGATACCTATGGGATAGATTCGCATTAAAACTTAGTGTCATGAAAACTATACTTTAAGCTAATGAAAATAAATTGCATCTTCCTTTAACGAACATCCTGCAATCATAAATCCATTTGCATTTCTGGGCATCAGTGCAATAATTATACTTATTAGCTTTGCGGTATAAGCAGAGAAGTTCGCCTTATGGTACTTTTGGAACATTTTCTTTAGTCCTGTCCCGACTACCATCTGCCGTGTGGTTACTTACCCGCATCCTACTGGGTGCGGTGACCATTATTCAAAACATTAAAAGGACGTAAAATATTATTTTAAATTGAAAACATTTTTCAAAATTACGTAATGTTATGTAATAAGAACTATTATCTGTTATGTTTTGACCATAAAGAAAGTAATACCTGTTATATATTACTATTATCGCCATATAACATTATAATATTGTCAGTTATTACACTTGAAACTATAAAATCAACATTTAAAATTGTTGTTAATTTTTTAAACACTTACTTCATAATTATAACAGATACTTATTGACTTTTTTTTGTTAAATTTCATAAAAATATTTAAGTAGGTACATATTAATTTTTAGTACTCTGTTCGTAACGCCACAAATTGACCACACAAGATCAATGTAACTACATAACATAACATCATGTCTTTTATCCCCGAAGGGGTAGGCAGAGGTGCAAATCATACCACTGTACAATGCAACACCCACTTTTCACTGTTTATGTTACGAGTTCCATGTAATAGGGGGTGAACCTATTGCCATGTAGCGGGCACAATTCCAGACTCCGTGCTACTACTGAGATTTATTTAAAAACCCAGTAATATTTTGTCCGGCTCGGCAATCGAACCCGAGACCCCTTGCCGAGTCGTAATTGTAACCACTCGGCCAACGAGGCAGTCAATGTAACTAGCCACCATTTAAAATTGATCCCTCTTGCATAAAACAACGCTACAAAGGTCGTTCAATTTACACTGGTAACTTAATTCTTTGAAATGAAGGACTGTAAATGATGCTTCTTGTATAAGAATTACAACATTTTTCGACTTTATATAAGAAATCTAGTTAAGTAATTTATAATTTTGTGACTGATAGATGTTTCGTAGAAACGTTCTTATTGATTGCATTTCATTTTTCTACTATAATGTCTGTAAAAAGCTCTAAGGCTCACTTACTTAAAGGGTATATAGACAAGGAATTGAAAAATAAAGTTAGAAATTGAATACAGTTTCTTTAAGAAAAATCTTTCTTTTCATGATGTAAGTAAATAAATAGCATAATTCTAAGTAAGCCAATTTCCAGTACTT